ACTTCAGATATTTATAGCTACTTCTTAAAACCAGTAGAAGGCTTATAGCAGATGTAATGTCAATATAATTCTGTAGATTTTATTAGACTGCCCAGCGCCATAATATAGCAGGGCAAAAGAGAAAAATAAAGCAAGTTGCAAAAAAAAAAAAAAAAAAGTCGCTCATTGGAAAAAGGAGGTTAGTGCAGCTAGAACTGCAGCCATTTGTTTACTTATCTCTTAGCATGTGTTGTTTCTTGAGCAAGAGGCCTAGCTTGCTCCCATGCTTTCAATCAGAACAGACATTGTGGAATTTCCTTCTATGGAAATAATCAACAGGCCAAAACAAGCTTCACACACCCACTTCCTGAGTAATTTCTGCTGTGTTTGACTCCATACTTCAACTTGTGAAACAAAAAACAGTCTGAATACAGGCTCTGATAATTCACTGTCTTCCTTCTATCCAGGGCTGATTCTTTGATATACCATCAACTTTATTTGCTTCTTCCTTTTAATTATAAGAGCACTTTCTTCTTTAAACTGAAATCATATATTTGAGAACAATGACAACATGTTCTTTTTTCTATTTCTTCGCGTTTGGTAAAATATCTTACTTATTTTAGACAGATAGTAATCCTAAAAGATCACCAAAAGTTTAGTTCTAATAAAGGCACAGTCTTCTGTCTATCATAAGAACAATTTAATTTCATCTCCTGCCTGAAATCACAGATGCAACTGGATCAGGGGTGAAACCCAGCAGGTTCTGTAGAACTGGTAGCGGAAATTTTGAGTTCGGAGAACCAGCAAATACCACCTCTGGCTGGCCTCAGAGTGGGATGGGAATGGACATTTTGCAATATTCTTCCCTCTGGAGTGGGGTGGGAATGGGGATTTTGCAATATCCTTCACCTGCCACACCCACCAAGCCACACTCCAAGCCACACCACACCCACCAAGCCACACCCACAGAACCGGTAGTAAAAAAATTTGGATTTCACCACTGAACTGGATGAACCGTTTCTTCTGTAATAGTAGTAATTGTTGTTGTTGTAAATTAAGTGTAAGAAGAACCATTACTATGATTATCAGCATGGGTGGACTTACATTATGATGCTAATTGGTTGTTATAGCAAAGGGTGAGCAGTTGTTTGTTCATCTCTAATATTAGACATTATAGTACAATTATGATAATTTAAACCTATTCTGTATGGTTCTTAAGCTAGCTGTTTAAGCATCATTCCAGAAGAGAGACATGGATCGCCAGAAAGAGCAAAATTGCGTGGAGTTGCATAACATTTCAAACGACACATGTACGGGCTTAGAAACATTGGCTGTAGTTTAGATATATCTCACCATAGTGGGAACATTACATCAAGAGGGCATGCTTAGTATGTCTTCTGGACGCAAAGAGTTGCTGTGTAATTGAAATCTCCTTAACATTTGTCTTTCAACTGGACTTGGAACGGGCAAGTTTTCAAATGAAGAACATGTTCAATAGTTGTGACTCCTAGTGTCCTTTCTAGAACCATAGTGTAATGAGGCAGTGATGATTTGCACAATTATCGTGACTACTATCATAGAAACCTGTCATGAACAATGTAAAGGGGGAAGTTAATGCACAATGTATTTTCTGCAGTGTTGTGGCAGCCCTTGGAGTGCTCAGAACTACTTCCCTTCCCTAACCAAATTGAGAAAACAGCATAGCTGCTCGGATATTTTAAAAGAGATACAAAGTAACATGTAGAACTAAGACTTCCAAAACAATGTACAACAAAAATATATAATTTCTCTAACCTTTTGAAGTACACACACACAATAATCTACAAAATGAAACTACAATAATATATTCATAAAAATATATTATTTACTCTAAATAAAGTAATTACTGCTATCATTAAAAGAAAGGCAGATGTTTGCTAAAGTGAAATTTAAAAACATCAGATTACATTTTACACTGCTTCAAGGACATAAAACTCTATTTAAATACAGTTTCCCCCCCCCCCCAAAAAAAATATCCATAAAGTTGTGTGGATTATTCAGTATTATTCTTGTGATGTTTTGTCAGGGAACAGAAAAATAATACAAGAAAGGTGGCCACTTTGCTAAAAATATCATTCTGGGTTTGCAATGCATACAATAAATATTAATGTGAATTGTCTGAATATAGCTTAAGTCTGTACCCAAAATACATCCACTTAAATTATATTTCAAATCAATACAGCCTTACAATTGGTGTAGAATACTCAGCAATTCATTATAATTACTCCATTTTATTCATTAAAGATACTGTTGTTTAATGAAAGAAATAAAATGCTACTTTCAGCCTTATTTGTATATTGCTTTCAAATTATATTGACAGCCTGATATCCTTGAAAATAAATAAATATAACAGTACTTTATTTCTCACAGGCATTTAGCCTATTCTCATGACCATGAGAGCTATTGTTACACCCTAATACTCCCTGGGTAGAACACTGCATGTCTCTACTGTATGTAGAGTGTCTATGCATACTGAGTTCCCTTATATTTATTTCAGCATGTGGAATTATCATACTCAGAAATCAACTTTATTTACATAGTCTTACTTACAATGTGTTGTTATAGTAATGACAATGAATTTGTACTTGGATTTCACTCAATTTCTTTTTACTTTCCTACATTTACTTATCTTATTCTTCAGTTTGTCTGAAATATGTATCAAAATGTTATATTCTCCTCAGTGGATGGGGAATATATTCTACTATTTCCAAGTGACTCTTAAATAGCTTGGAAGAGACCTCATAATGTTAGAATGAGGTATCAAAAGTATATGCAGCATTGAGACAGCCAAATGTTTGCTTGGGCCCAGAATACTATAATGGTTATTTGCTTTCCCAATGATTTAATTCTCTCTTGCTGAATTATTTGTGAACAAGGACAGAATGCTTGTTCTCCCTCCCCACCCCTCTTGCTGCTTCTTTCCAAATGTTGTAGAGGCATAACTTATTTTTTTCCCCCAAACTGTGAAATTTGGAGATATAATCTGTGCATCTGTAGCTGCCAGTCCTTTACATGATCTAATCTAAACTTAGAACATTTCCTATCTGTGTCCAATGCAATGAAGGACAAATCTTTTCTTGTTCATTAAGAACAATATGTGTAGAAATAGATGTTAGGAGGGAAACAGAGCTTCCTTGAAAGAGAAATATTGGTAGAAGCTGTTTAACTCTTCTTTGTCTTGCCAGTAGTAGTGCAATCAAAGAATAACAGAATAATAATAATAGAATTCTTTATTGGCCAAGTGTGATTGGACACACAAGGAATTTGTCTTGGTGCATACGCTCTCCGTGTACATAAAAGAAAAGATACATTCGTCAAGAATCATAAGGTACAATACTTAATAATAGTCATAGGGAAACAGACAATATAAATCTTAAGGATACCAGCAACAAGGTTACAGTCATACAGTCATAAATGGGAGGAGATGGGTGATAGGAACGATGAGAAGGAGGATATAAGGGATGAAGACTGTGGCTCCACTCGGTAAACAGAACTGGCAGAAGGTTCTGTCAATGCAGCAATAAGTGGAGAAATAGATTTTATAATCAAAAGTGGCGAAATAAGTGAAGAAATACATTTTGTATTTCAAAAATGGAGAAATAAGTGAAGAAATATATTTTGTAGTAAAAAACAGTTGCCTCAATGTGGCTACTTATTCTAGTGGCCACAAACTAAAATTATTCAGTTATACTGCAGCTTCCTGTTCTTTCCCGTATATAACAGTAATTAATTTACCCTACCAAACAATTTAAATACTATTTAAATGTGTGGTATCCTGGTATACTGATAACTTTTATCTTTTGGACTACTGATCAAAGAAGACCATGAGATTGCTAGCATGACTAGAGTTATGGGATACCATGGAGAGAATTGTGGATTTAACTAGCAGTCCTCCTACCTTTCCTTTGCATAATCTGACTCTGCTTTGAAATTATCAAATTATATTGGTTCCCCACCTACTTCTCAGTCTAATATTAACATATTAAAGCATTATATATTAAATAAAAATCTGCTCATAGTTTTTTCCCCAACTAAAGATCGTTTCCAAAAGCTCTGCTGAAGAGACTTGCAACATTTTTTACCATTCTCCTAAAGAATAGAAGGGATAATCTGACTTCAAGAGGTATTCCAGAAGGAGTGGCCCACCACTAAGAAGGTTGTGTTCCAGATCCCAACCAACAGCATATTGTCCTGACTAGACTATGTGCAAAGGCAGATTTTATTTGGAGAAAGCAGTCTCAATTGTTCCTTCAGGGAAAATGAACACCACCCCAAACAATAGATGGTATATCCACAGAACTAGAAAGTTTCTGTTCCAATAACAACTCTTCTGTTATGCACAGTTCAGACTTTATAACTATGACTACTTCACAGGTTTTTGTCTTCTTAGTCCTGTATGTGATAGCAACTACACCTCCTACTAACTTTCATTACCTGAATCCTTTCCATAATGACGATCTCCCAGCCACTTATTTCTTTTCTTAACTTGTTCCTCTTTTTATACCTAAATCTCTTTCCATCTACTAGTATTCAACTCAGCTAAATGTCTGAGCAGTCCAAATACAGTCCAAAGTGTCTTCTTTGTTTTTTTTTCCAGCGTCTACTTTCAAATAAATCCATTTTTCCTCTAAAAATAGTATCAACAGCAACAACAATGCTATTATCTTGCCAACCAAATTTACTGTAACAGGAATGGAATGAGCTAGTAAGTAGATTTCAGGTAAAAAAAAAATGTAATTTAAACCAATATTCATGCCGGTTGCATTTATACGAGATATTAGAAAGAATTTCCTAACATATTTATTATTCCTTAAAATAGTAAAAGATTTGAATATATTATTTCTTAAAATGTTCAAGTAGTAAAACAAAACTTGAGATAATTTGGTCATCAAGATAAGTGCTGCATAGTTTTAACAATAACTTTTACCAACTTTTTACTTATTTCTTAGACTGAGAAACATTTTATTTCTGGTTTTCTTCAGGACAAACCATCAGAGATCAAGATGGTGGTGGAAAAGCCCACAACTTCATCTGTGGCCCAACTAGCAGGAAAATTTCAAGAGCAATCATCAGTTTCTGGAAAGGAGGTAGGGATAATGCAACTACAAAGGGAAGTTCAATTTGCATATTGGGGCAACCCTCCAACTTCGTGTATATCAGAGGTGGGTTTCAGCAGGTTCTGACCAGTTCTGGAGAACCGGTAGCGGAAATTTTGAGTAGTTCGGAGAACCGGTAGTAAAAATTCTGACTGGCCCTGCCCCCATTTATTCTGTATCTCCCAAGTCCCAACTGATTGGGAGGAAATGGGGATTTTGCAGTAACCTTCCCCTGGATTGGGGTAGGAATGGACATTTTACAGTTTCCTTCCCCGGTAGTAAAAAAATTTGAAACCCACCACTGATGTATATATTCAGATTTGAGCATTCCTTAAAGAACCAATATTACATATATTTTTTTTCATATCTATCTCTTTTCTCTTTATTTTTCATACATTTTCCTCCATTTTTAGGTCCCAGCTCCTAAACCAGTACGCAGAAAACCACCTTGTTCTCTTCCCCTCCACACAAATAAGATGGAGCTAGGACAGAATGGTGAGCTAGTAAGTATCAATATTTTAAGGAAACAGAATTGTACTTCTTTTACTGTATAAGACATGTTAATAAGAACTCTAAAACTGAAAAGATGCAATTGCTGTAGAGGTGTTTGGAATGGTACAAGGTAGTGATTTCCTTACATCATGGAGCATGATTCTATCTCACGAAGCTCTGTTAATACAGAGTTCTTGCTTGCCTCCTGATGTGAAACAGCTGTCAACTATGTTTCGTAAATATGCCTTCATGTTACTAAAAGAAACCGCCCTATTGGTTAGGGTAGTTCCAAGAAAATTGGGCTTCCAGCAGATGCATAATCCATGTAGACAAAAACAGGCATCGCTATTCATTTGCCATATATGATTATTAGGGTGATCATATATATGGTTATATATGGTTAAAATAAGCATCAACCTCTTTAGATAATATTACATGTTTCTAGTTGAACATGGATGTAAAATCCAAAAGCGAATATCTCCAAAATAAAGCTTACATCTTCCTGAACAAAGCAGATATGAGTACATAGATATCTTTAAAAAATTACTACGTTGGATCATGAGAGTAAGATGTTTGATAGTAGGACAGGCAAGACAAAAGCACTGAATTCCCATGAAATAGACAATTTCTTTGTGGATGATAGGAAGAGTTGAAGCAAATAGAGGTTAGGGCTATTGACCAAAGTAAGAAATCTCACCTGTTTTTCCTCTTTCTGATACCACATTCTCTCTTTTCTTCTCATAATTCCTCTCTAAACAACCTGTTTCCTGTGGCTTGAGGTATATCAAGAAAGAGGCAGATATTTCTTATGGAGATATAAATTTGTCACGAGTTTTTCTCTTCAATACTTCAGGTTTCCCATGTCTGCTTTTTATTCCACATATACACTATATACTCATTATGCTATTCTGTTTCAGGGTAAACAATGTAGGTTTGCATTCTCTTTTCATACATTTCCTTTTTTGGGATTAATAATAGTCTTCCAATTGCCATGTGCAGATACAGTCTACACACATACAGTACATTAGGAAGTCACATAGCCATATTAACCTTAAATATTTTATCATTTCTCCACTTGCATCATTTATATCTTATCATTTTCAGTAATCTGAAAATGCATCTTTTACTTGCTTTCCATTCATTCTTTTTATTAGATTGCAACAATTATACTACCCACTTTAATTTCATTTTTGATATACAAACCTATAAAATATTCCTTGCAACATTTCTTCATTTCAAATAATCTCAAATCATATCACATTTATTTTTAATAATATATAAACTCTTGGTGACTCCTTGTTTAGCCTTTTCTTTATGTTACTTTCCATTAATTCTGTTGGGAGATTAATCTAGTTTCTACTAGATTACTTTAGTACCTCCATTACATTGTATTAAATGATGGGTATATCAATATGTGGCAGCAGTGTTAGTAATGGCTCAGAACCAATCTAGGTACTCTCCAAATATGTGGATGTCAATTTCTAGAATCCATAAGTCCCCCATGGCCACTGCTGAGAAACATAGTAGTTTGTTTTTTTTTTTAAATTTCATTTATATGCTGCCCTTCTCCGGAGACTCAGGGCGGCTTACAATGCGCTAAGCAATAGCCTTCATCCTTTTGTATATTTATACAAAGTCAGCTTATTGCCCCCACAACTGGGTCCTCAATTTACCTACCTTAGAAAGGATGGAAGGTTGACTCAACCTTCAGCCTGGCGAGATTCGAACCTGCAGTAATTGCAGGCAGCTGGTCTTAATAACAGGGTGCTTTAGACCACTGTACTACCAAGGCTCTTGGTATCTTGGTAGTTGCAATCTAAACATCTGAAGAATGCTATAATTGCAGAAGGTTGTTGTGATTTAAGTAGTATATTTCTAATCAGTGACCCTGTCATCTGAATAACATCACACCTGTCCACAGTGGCAGCACTAGTAACCAGATGTTGCATTAGAAGTTATAGTCAGGGAATAAGCTTTGCATTACCATTTATTTATTTTATCAATTTCAAACACCAACTCAAAGGTTTATAATTAAAAAGTAAGGACATTCCAATAAAAGAACAAGAATGCATATGAGGCTTAAAGACAGGCATAAAAACAAATTCCCCATCCAGAAGGGGCTTCACCATCAACCTCTTCCAAGACCTCATTTCATCCCAGATGAAAAGTCAATAAAAATTGGAGAATGGTAGCCTAGCAATGGTGGCAATAGGAATTTTCATCCTTTTAAGTTAGTTACTTCTCTAATTTCTGAATCCCTTCAATTTATCTTCATTGTGAGGTCAGATGTCTAGCAAGAATATGACAGTACTGCTCCTGATAAAACCCTACAATCCTAATACCATCTATTGCATCATCATCATCATCATCATCATCATCATCATCATCATCATCATATTTATATCTAACATATACATATCTTTCTTTTGTGGAATATAGTCCTTTCCAAGGAGGGTTCTTCAAGGATACTTGTATTAATACTTGTATTTTCCTAGAGACTTTTTTTTTTGGATTTGATTTATATGCCGCCCTTCTCCGGAGACTCAGGGCAGCTTACAATGAGTTAAGCAATAGCCTTGATACTTTTGTATATTTATACAAAGTCAGCTTATTGCCCCCACAATCTGGGTCCTCATTTTACCTACCTTAGAAAGGATGGAAGACTGAGTCAACCTTGAGCCTGGTGAGATTTGAACTTGCAGTATTGCAGGCAGCTGATGTTAATAACAGTGCTTTAGTCTGCTGCACCACCAGGGCTCTTCCTTTTTATACTTAATAATAAAGAAAATTTAATAATTAAAAATGAATCAACCAAACACCAAAGATTTTTGGAACGTAACAAAAGGTGGCTCTTTCAACCAACTCTGTTTCTTATTTCTCTTTTTACAGAAACCATCCCCAAATGCTTCTCGTCCTATAAGGGTAAAGCCCAAAAGTTCTCCTCTCATTGAAAAAATGCAGGTAAGATCTGATTTCATCATTGCTCCTCTGCTAATGTTTTAAAAATGTTACTAGTTAAAACATTTAGAATTTCTAGTTGCTGATGTCATGCAGGGAAAAAATCCAAAAGCTGTAAAGACACAACTATAGTAACAATATGGAATGTAAGAAGCATGAACACAGGAAAGCTCAACATAGTGAAAATGAAATACATTAACTACATATTGACATCTTAGGCATCAACAAATTGAAATGGAGTGAAATTTCAGAATATCATAATGCTGACTACTAATTGGGACAAAAAAAAAATCCACAGAAAGACTATGGAAATAATATAGTCAGATACAGAATAATATCAATTAGACTTCCTGGACAGCTCTTTAATAAAATGGTTATTCAGATTTAACTCCAACCATTGAGGCAGAAAAGAGGATTGATGAGTTTTATGGTTAAATTCAACATGAAATCATCAGCTGGAAAAGTAAGAAGGAAAAATGTAGTTCCAATGGTGGGATTCAAAATTTTTTACTACTGGTTCTGTGGGCGTGGCTTGGTGGGCATGGCATGGCATGGCTTGGTGGACATGGCTTAGTCAGCGTGGCAGGAGAAGGATACTGTAAAATCTCCATTCCCTCCCCACTCCAGGGGAAGGTTACTGCAAAATCCCCATTTCCTCCGATCAGATGGGACTCTGGAGGCAGAGAATAGATGGGTCCAAGGCCAGTCAGAGGTGGTATTTACAGGTTCTCCAAACTACTCAAAATTTCTGCTACTCATTCTCCAGAACTGGTCAGAATCTGCTGAATACCACCTCTGTGTAGTTCAACTTCAAATTGATTTTTAAAGGATGCCAGTGAAGGAGTATACTGAAATTCTATACAGTACAAATGCCCATATCCAACATGGTGAGACAGACTAGCTCCAAGTTAGTGGAAAAGTGAGAAAAAATTATATATTCTCTCTGCATTTGTTCAGCTATGTGCTGAGAGAAGCTAATCAAGTTTCCATTCAATAATTGGATTGGTTGGAATTGGAAACAATTATTGGATGGAAACAAATCAAGGACAGAAGCAAACTAAGGAGAAAATTCCTAACAGTGGGAACAATCAACCAGTGGAACAAATTGCCTTTGGAAGTTGTGGGTGCCCCATCATTGGAGGCTTTTAAGAAGTTACTCGAAAGCCATTTGTTAGAATTAGTATAGCTCTCCTGCTTGAGCAGGGGGTTGGAGTAGATGACCTTCAAAGTCCCTTCCAACACTGTTACGTTATGCTGTCACAATTTATATTAGGACTGTCTCACATTACTGGAAATAGAAAATTTAAGACAATCTTGAATATAAAGAATTAAATCTGTTGATATTATGGACATGTTCACCCTTTCTTTGATATCAAGCCACTGTTGATATATTTTCTTGGCTGAGATGCTAGAAAATCTATAAGGCTTGAGCCAACATACAAGAATAGTGTCTACATTCAGCTGTTTTGGAAAGGCAGCTATTCTCCACCTCTGCTCTTCCCCAAACTATTTGTTGACAAAGTCACCATTAGATACATAGGATGGTGAAACAGATATCTTAAGCACAAGAGCTCCCTCTTGTGATTATAATATTACAATAGCAGTGATTTCCAAAAGACTGCCTGCTAATACTAGAAATCATATATGAAAAAATTAGCAAGATATTTAAAGGTATTTCTAATTTAATAGGATCCAAAAATTCATTCTGATTTGGATTGTGAATGAGGACAAGTTCATTGGAAGCATCAATAAAGCATACCATGTGCAATAAATAATAAAACATGTATTTTCACAGCCATATTTAGACATGGTACCTTCCAAAGTACCATTTTTGATTTCTTCTTTTCCCATTTCCAATTTTCCCATCCAAAAACCAGTGTTCTGTACTCACTGGGACTCCTCATTCCTAAATGGTCTATCTTCATAAAATCATGGAAAACTTTGAAGAGACCTTGGAGACCAATTCCCTGCCAGCTGCAGAATCCACCATTATAGCATCTCTGACAAATGGTCATTCAGCCTCTCTTTAAACAGACCCAGCAATGAACTCTACTTCTCAACACATTCTGATTTCATTGTTGAATAGCAGTTAACAATAGGATATGCTTCCTGATGTCCAATTGAAGTTTATTTCCTCTGTAATTTCAGCCCATTGTTTATTGTTCTGTCTTCTGAAAAATTTTGAGCTATTCTGCCTTGTCTTCTAATTTCTCTTGAATATGACACTATATGTCTGTTTATATTACCTAAGATTGCTTTTTCTTTTGGGGGAGTTGTACCATATTCTTGGCTACCTTGTGCTTCCCCAAAATAATAAGATCCCTTTTTACAGGTGCCATTGCCAATATGGTCTCCCCATACTATATTTCACATCTATTAATTTTTTATGCTGAAAAAAGGCTTTGTATTTATTTCATTGAAATTAATCTTGCTAGATTTTGCCATTGTTATTGTTTATCAGGTTCCTCCTGAATCATGATACTTTCCCTGTTTACCCTGCCATGTGTGACATTTGCAAATTTAATAATCATATTCTCTAAACATCATTTAAATTATCTATAAATATGCTAAATACCACAGAGCCTTTGATATTTCTTCCAGTTTGACATTAAGATACTGATGTTCTTGTTGACTGTGATCATTCAATTAGTTCTATCATCTAATGATAGTCTAGTCCAGGGGTGAAATCTACTTCCTTCCCTACCGGTTTGGAAGTGCTTGCTCCGCTCGCGCGTGTGCCATCATCACATCCAATTTTTGACCCTCTGTGCATGTGCAGAATTCTTTGCGCATGCGCAGAGTGTTAAAACCCAGAAGTAATGACGTCCGGGCGAGTGGGAGGAGCCTTGCGCTGCCGCCGCTACCATTTCACCGAACTACGCGTCACATGCACTACCAGCTCGTGCGAGCCGGACAGAACCGGCAGGAGTTCACCACTGGTCTAGTCCAGGGATGTCAAATTCACAGCATCACAGCGGCATCACATGATGTATAGGGACTTTTTCCCGCTTTGCTAAACCGGACATGGGCGTGACCAGTGCGTGATGCCTCTGGCCCATGGGCCGGGAGTTTCACAGCCCTGGTCTAGTCAATTCCAATTTTTATTACCTTCTCTCCTAAAAACTCATGAGAGACTTATTAAATTGCTGAACTCAGAGTTAACCTGTGAACAATTAATAACTGGTCATTCTATTTTAAAAAATCATGGTTTTGCATGACTTGTCCTTGATAAACACATGTTGGCATTATTCTCTAAATGCTCACAAGTCAACTGTTTGATAATGTGGTTCAGAGGTTTGCCTAGGTCTTTTTGACTCTTGTGTAAAGATATAAAATACATTCATGTTTCTCAAGTCCTCTGATGCTCTGTTTGTCCTCCATATTGTCAAGAATTTATAGATGAAGCTCCAAAATAATACCTACAAGATTCTTCAAGATTCTTAGATGTAATCAGTATGGGTCCTGGAGAGCTAAACTCATTTATTATAGTTAGGTGGCTATTTTTTAAAACTTACTACAAGCCATTTTGTGTGTCAGTTGTTCCATTTAATGTCAGGTATGCCTCCTTTCAGTACTCAAGAAAGAAAAACCCCGACTCCATTTTCATAGAGAAAGGTACTTTTACTGAGTATGAACTGAATGCAACCAAAGAAAAGCAAGGTCTGAGACAATGGGCGCAAAAATCACATATAGAAAACATCCTTAAAACCCTCCCCCCAATGGTCCAGTCAGGATTATCCAATCCACATCCCCCCAAGGGATCATGTGGGGTGCAGCTTCTGATGGCTCCATCCTTCTGGTATGCCAGGACAGTTGACCTTGACTGGTTATCAGCACGCTTCCCAGCTGCAGAGAAACACTGAGGAAAACTTTCTCCAATTTACTCTACCAGCTCACTTCCCCCCTCCCAATATCCAGACAGATCCCCCCTCCCCCCATTTCAATTGCAGCCGTAGCAAGCAAGCAATATAAAAGTGGAGGCTGACACTTAGATCCATTTAAACATAGTTCTCCTTTGCACAGAAAATTGAAGTAAAGTCAGAAATGTCAAGTTCTAAGTCTTTCCAAAGTTTGCTACAATCCTATTTCCCCAAGCAGTAGCCCTTCCCCTTCCCCTTCTTTTTTCTTGGCAAACTAATCTTTTAGCATCCCTTGCAAACCTAAATTCCTTTTTGACTTTCTTTACACAGATAATAACTGCTTACTGGTATGCCTGCTTAGTTCAATTGCCATTTTGTAAACATATCCTTTTAAACTCTCAGCTCCATCAAAATTCACTATGCATTCACAATTATTTCATAAACTATCTCCTATTTTTTTTTTCTCACTTTAGAATGGTGGTAACTGTATATCCAGTATCTTATTTTTTAGAAATTTCTAACTCTCCTGTAAAACCTAAAAGACCAGGCTAAGTTAGATCGTCATGAAAAAATGTAGTTACTAAGACTCAACAATAATTTGATGTTACATAATCACTCAATCACTCTCCTGCATTTTCTTTGACTTGAGAAATTTTGTCTGTGGGATTCTATTAAGCACTTGGAAAGATTTATTAAAACTGAATATTCTAACATCTGATATGCATGTACAATTCTGTTCTGTCCCATTCTCTTTTTGTAGTATCTTAAAGCAAAGGTAATATGATATGTTCCCACTGCTTTTACCTCTTCAGCCAGCAGTTTTTTATTTATTAGAATCAGAAGAGCCAAATCTCCTGTTTCTCCTTTAAGAAACACATGAGAGACAAGAAACAAAATCAGGAAGACAACTAATGACTTTTGGAAACTGTATAGTCTTGGCTGAGTTGGTTTTCTAACAGATGTCTTCATAGTTGAAGCCTGAATGTTTTTTAATTCGCATTGTCCAGATCTCTTGCCTGGCTTTGCTGGTTAAAATAATCCTATAGTAAAATGCTTCCCCCCCACCTTTTTTTTTTTTTTTTGTATTCTTACCTATGCTTTCAATTAGACATTCATATTCAAACTCTGGGATCTCAAAACATGTGTGTACTTTCTTCACATATAATGCCAATCCTTCATGTGGCATATTATAGTAAATAACATTCTATTTGTTAATCATTGTATTTCACTCATGCACTCTATCATGCCAGAATCCATCCATCCATCCTTCCTTCCTTCCTTCCTTCCTTCCTTCCTTCCTTCCTTCCTTCCTTCCTTCCTTCCTTCCTCCCTCCCTCCCTCCCTCCCTCCCTCCCTCCCCCCCTCCCTTCCTTCCTTCTCATAAACTGCCTATCTCAAATGCATGATTCTGGTTGACTAATAATATTAAAAGAAAGATAAAATATTATAACAAAGTAATAAATAATATGTACAGCAGCCAAGATGAATTTAACACAACATGATTAGTTAATTAACACAACCCTGATTGTTCTCCATACTCTGTGCAATTGTATAGAAACAACTGGAAAGTTTAGTTTATCTAACCAGACCTAATATATCAGATGCCTCTGTGTCTCAAATACTCCTCCCAGTTGAATTTCCAGGACTTGGGATTGCACTATTTTTAGAGATTTCTTCTCCTTCCTCTAAAGGACTCAGTTTAAAGCTCTCTGAATCTGCTTTGCATGGCATCTTCTAAAAACAATTTTCTCAATTCTTGTGAGATGCAGCCTACCTTTTGCAGTAATTGTTTATTTTGGAAATACAACTCATTATCTTGTAATCCAAATAGTTCTTATTGGACCATCTGTGTTGTTAGTTGTTCATTCCAGTATTCTTCCATCCTCCCAAGTCATATCCTTCAACAGGAACGAGTGAAAAAATACCATCTCTTTCATTTTCCTGTCCAACTCTTCATAATCCTTTGTTGCCCCTCCATTGCCTGTTTAACTGTGTAATTTGTTCCAATATGAATCAACAAAAAGGAATGTGTCAACAGGTGTTCAGCCTTTGAAAGCCTTTCATCACATCCTAAATGTGTGCCCTAGGAAGGCAGCACATTTTTCTGAGTGCATTATTCAGCCAACAGATTGTGCCTTTGAAGCAAGGAGTCTCCCATCACCACCCCACACTACTTCCCGTTCTTCAGGACAGAGGCAGAATCCTTCCCCTTGGGCAGACAGTATTGTCTTCTTCCTCAGTCCCTGAGGTCTGGCTGTTGCTGTTTCTCCAACAATATGAATTTAGGGATGAGCGAGGGTTACTGTCCTCTTGTGTGGATATTATAGTTTTTACCTCACAACTGTATTTGGTCAATATCTATATATGAGGGATCCATCACAATGTTATATCAGATTGCCCTGTCATATGAACTATTGGTAGAAGGGACTCTTTCCCTTCCAGACCTCTTTGATCAATTATATCTCTCATCCTCAAGCTGCTGCCCCCACTCAAGTTCCACTTAAGCCTGCATTCAAAAGAGGACATTGCAAAACAGCTTCTTTTTTTGTAAGGCTTACACAGCTGCTTTGAAAGCTATTATGGTAAGGTGACCAGATTTTAACATTGGTAAAGAGGAACATTGTGGGCGTGGCTTATTTTGTGGGCGTGGCTAGCTGGTCATGTGACTGGGTGGGCGTGGTTAGTTGGTCATGTGACCGGGTGGCCATGGCTATGTGTATAGGGTAAGGTGAACAGATTTTAACATTGGTAAGAAGGACACCATTGTGGGCGTGGCTTATTGTGTGGGCGTGGCTTGGAGGCCATGTGACTGGGTGGGAGTGGCTAGCTGGTCATGTGACCAGGTGGCCATGGCTATGTGTATAGGGACTACTCAGAGGGCTGAAAAGTCATTTCTGACAGGTCCTCGCACTTTTGACTGGTCCTCACACTTATGACCATCCTCACATTTATGCCCGTGCAGCATTCTTAACAACCATGTCACTCATTTCACAACTGCTTCTCTTCACCATGGTGACAAGATAGGGCAAAAACGTAAAATGTGAGGACAGTCGTAAGTTCGAGGACTGGTCAAAAGTGCGAGGACCAGTCAAAAATAACTTTTTCAGCCCTCCGAGTAGTCCATATGCACAAAAGGACTAACCAGAGGGCTGAAAAAAGTCATTTCTGACAGGTCCTCGCACTTTTGACTGGTCCTCACACTTATGACCATCCTCATATTTATGCCCGTGCAGCATTCTTAACAACCATGTCACTCATTTCACAACTGCTTCTCTTCACCATGAGGACAAGATAGGGCAAAAATGTAAAATGTGAGGACAGTCGTAAGTTCGAGGACTAGTCAAAAGTGTGAGGACCAGTCAAAAATAACTTTTTCAGCCCTCTGAGTAATCCATATGCATAAAAGGATACAGTAATAGAGAGGGATGAAGGAAGGGAATGGAAATTAGAGTAGGAGTGACGGTAAGAGAGGGAGGAAGAGAGGAGGAGAAGGAGAAAGGAAGAGGAAATAGGGAGGAGAAGAAGAGGGTGGGGGGAAGTGAAAGTAAGAAGGAAAGAAAAGAGAGGTGATAGGTTTGAGGAGAAAGATTGCTGTACAATAAAAAAGATGAAAGGGAAGAAAGCCAACCCCAAACAAATATAAAGATATTAAGATAAAGAATGAATTGTTAAACTTTAAAGAATAAAAGAGAACAAATATGAATAAATAGCAATAATTAGAAACACACATACAAACATACAATGTATTTTCTTTGAACAGAATATTTGGCTGGTTCACAAATTTAAACAGTGTTTAGTCATTTCAATTAAATTTACAATTTCTATATTTCCTTTTTGCCATATTTATTCCTCATCTATTTTTTAAAAAAAACAATATTACCCTTCATCCTCATCTCTAATCTTAATCAAATTCAATTTTTCCCTTCTATTCTATATTATACCCCTTCCCATTGTCATATATTTTTATATCCATCCTCACATTGGTTAATTATGTAATTATGTAATACAGTTGTTTAATACAAATTCAACATTTTAATATAAATCAATTAGTTATATAACTATCTTTTTTGTATATTAATCAATATGAACATGAATATTCCAATTATTTCCATGCAATCCAATTTATTACAAATCAATTAATTATATTTACCAATAATAATAAACCAAATAATTTCCCCCATATATTCCTCCAAACCACAACTTAACCATTTCTGCTTTCAACACAGTATACAATTAATAGTATCTCAATTATTACAATTCCCTAGTTAAAAAGAGCTTTTTTTTCTTTTGTGTTTTAAAATCTTGAATTTAAAATCTCTTTTGCCCTAAATAATTTCCCATTGTTTGCACCTACCTTTTTTTGGTGAGGAAAAGGAAAATAAACCTGCTGCCTAATTTTCCAACGTTGCAAGCAAACAGCAAAGCCAACAGCCTGTTTTACTTTCAGTTTCGTTTTGAGCTTGGTTTGCACAAAGAGAAAAAAAAACTGCTGAGCAATTTAGCAAGAGCAGAGCCCTGCGCAAATCAGCTGAGAGGGGGAAGCCGAGCTAATCAACGTAGGGCGGCCCTTTGAAGCCCCGCAGCAAAAGTTTAAACAGGTTTTTTCCCTCTAGCCATCAGCGGGGACTCAGGAGGCAGCCGGGACTCAGGAGGCAGAATGAAAAATCGGGACTTTTTTAAAACACCGCAGGACGCGGGACAAATTGCTCAAAAGCGGGACTGTCCCGCCAAAAGCGGGACATCTGGTCACCTTATATTATGGATATAGGACAATATAGGTGTTATGTAAATGTGTTTTTGGAAGCTTCTCTTTACAATGTTTTGAATAGTATTATATCCAGTATTCTTGTCTGTTAATAGAACATCTTCTCAGAATCTTGGTTTCTGTTTTCTTTGGTTTTTGTGTATGTTATTTTATTTATTAGGAGAGGGGGTTGTTTTTCCATAATTGAACATCTGATGATACGCTTGAGCCCATCTCCACCTCCAATTAATAGGGAACTATAGAGGGTCTCCAATAATTCCTTGGCAGTTCAGAGATAAATAGATCAATAATAATATCTCAGCTCCATAGACTACATCTTTTTTCTCTCATTTCCCCTTTTCCTATTTTTTCTCCCACAGAGCTGGATACTATTTTATATTTTCTACAGAGCCGTTGCTGAAACATTGTTGGCTCATATTTATTTAAAAATTGCTTATTTTATTCAGGAGGTGAACATGATTAATCCCTCCCCACAAAATAAAGTTAATAGCAGTTTCGAAGTTCCATGTTCACCTCTGAATGCTGTTTACTTCTTAACGGGTGCTGGCAAAGGTAGCAAATTCCAGAAAAAAAAAATACAATACAGAATGTCATTCCTTGGCAGATATCCTTATTAAGCATTTAGGAATCTCTCTGTTTCACTAATATTAAGTGTGCTCCATAAACTGACTTCAGCAATAGATAAAGTGAGTAACATTAAGGCAAAATTTCAAACATTGGGAAGAAAATGAAAGTACTTATTTATGATTCACTCATTTTCTTTACAGGCCAATTTGGCACTTGCTCCAACTTCTATGCTGCCAGGAGCTTCTCCTAAAAGCCCTGGACTAAAGACAATGATGTCTCCCTTTAACAGTCCACCGGTCACCCCTGTCAGCCCAAAGACTCATTCAAGTATTCCTGATGAATCTCCAGTTAGTTTTGAACAACCACCAGAAGGTACTCATCTTCAGTTTTATAATAAGGTAAGATATAGGCTGGTCACCATAATATTGACAATTTAAAGATGAAAAGGAAAGGAAGAAGTCGGGGGGAAGGAGGTCTCTCAAAATGTAGTACCATAAATGTACTATGTACGAGATCACCTTCCGCCACCGATAGCCTCCCACCGGCCAATACGCTCCCACAGAGAGGGACTCCTCAGGGTGCAGTCAGCCAAACAATGTCGACTGGCGACACCCAGGGGGAGAGCCTTCTCTGTCGGGGCACCTGCCCTCTGGAATGAACTGGCACCGGAGATCCGCATGATCCCCGACCTGCATACCTTTCGCCGTGCCCTTAAGACTCTTTTGTTTCAACAGGCCGGCTTAGAAAATGAATTTTAATTGGGTGTCTGTAGTTTTTAACATAAGGGCCAAATTTTTTATATATTTTAAATTGTTTTTAAATTTTATGGGTATATGTTTGTTTTAATATGGCTGTACACCGCCCTGAGTCCTTCGGGAGAAGGGCAGTATAAAAATTTAATAAATACATACATACATACATACATACATACATACATACATACATACATACATGAATATGAAATAAAATGAGTCAATGAACAGCTGTAGCAGTTTCCAAACAGATCACAAAGAATTTTCATCAAGTAACAGTTAACTAATTGAAGTAAATGTGTAATTATTTTTAAAGAAAATTTTCAAGGTCATTTGACTGGAATATTAATTTTATTTGTTGAAATTTATAACAGTACTGTAATAAGTACATTGCATAGTTTTGATTTTTTTTAAAAATATACTCTTGAAGTACATGTGATGTTCCTAGTATAAAGTAGTTTCCTGAATTCTGTCCTGAGAACCTTTTTAAGAGGAGAAAAATTTAGAATATCATTTTTTCATTGTTAGGCAAATGACAGCCATATAGAACAACATTCCTCGGATTTGAATATGTGGAATTCCCATATAGCTTAATGTACATATGATTGTGAGACTGAAATTTCTTTAGACGTACCACTTCCTTTAACGTGCTATCATTACATGAATCAATATATGCCAGTACTTGCAACACTGACAGATTTTTTTTTCTTCTTTTGTTCACTTTGTTTCCCAGCTCCTATTGTTAGCCGTCCAGCTTTCCTTGGGGTTCCTTTCAAATGATCTAATTTTGTCTTTGGTGACTCCTTACACTCACTAGCCTTCCATACCTGATAGTCCTACTTAGATTCCTCTATTCTTAAGCATCTCTAAATGACTCTTCTGTGGCCTGTCTTTTGACTACCTGAACTGATATTGGATTTTAATTTATCTGCTCCTTTATGTATGCTTACTTTAAAGAATGATCCTACAGATGATCTAGCTATTTAAAGTCCAGCTTGGCCAAAATAACTAAATCTCTAGATTCGTGACAATATCAGCTGCATAGATGGAACAAAATAAGATAAGCTTTAAGAAAACGAGAGCAGGTCTGAAGTTATTGATTTCTTAAAGAAATATCAACTCATGTAGAAAATTATCAGCCTTTGGGTCACATCCTTTTCTCCTTTTATCAGCAATACCATATCCCAGTTCATTTACTGTTTCCACTCTTCCACTCAAAATCATTGTTTTGGTGAATGAATATAGAAAATCCTGGAGCTTCTGCCCAATGTTTGTATTTTAAAACTAGACTTAATTTAAAAATCTGGCAGATTTTAAATAACCACATTTATCATCATCTTCATAAAGATGGTGATCTTTACATTGGAAGATGTATTTCTTATCCACAAAAACCACATTGGCCAAAGTAATTGTAATGTGCTAGTTGGCACTGAAAAAATATTAGAATACTTCTTCACTTTTTGCTAAGGAACAATCATATGTTCTTCAATGTGAAAGAAATGGTAATGCCAAAAATTAATCTTATGAAGAATAACTAATAGAGTCCAGGAATGAATGCAGTTCTGTTGGTTGTTTTTAATGATGTCTGGTCTTGGTCATGTTCTTATTTCAATCACAGCTTTATCCACTTTCAGGTAAGGACACGAGGATCAATAAAGCGCAGACCTCCATCTAGAAGGTTTCGAAAATCACAGTCAGAATATGGAGATGACCTAGATTTAGGAGGGACAGTTTTACCTCAGGAAAATGGTTCCAAAACTGAGGAGAAGGAGGAAGTAGATGTATTTATGGACAATAATAAATGTATTAAATCATCACCTGCCCCCGAGGGTGGTGTAGACAATCAAAAGAAACAAAATCAAGTTGCTTCTGATGAAAAATCCCAATCAGTTCTACAATCTAGTGGATCAGAAAACAAAGAGAAAGAAGTAGATACAGAAAAAGTAACAAAATTCAAAGAGAGCCAGGAAGACAAGACACAGCAGAATCTTTCAGAGGAAAGACCAAGTAAGACTGTGAACAATGAGAAAGAGAAGAATGCAGATACAGATATTGCAGAAGATACAAAAAGAAAACCACAGAACTATAATGCTTCCGACATGGAAAACACTTATAAAGAAAAGAAGGAGAAAAAAATAAATGGAAGTGAAGATTCACATCATGAATCAAGCAGACAAGATACTGGGACTTCACAACCTACTGCAGATATGAAACTATTCTGAACTCCAGGATATGGTGCTAATATAATTACTAAGAAATGATAAATGGAAAGCCAATTATTAGTGTTCCTATTGCAATATTTGCTTATAAACTATTTCTAGTTTATAATAGTTTATAAAGAAATAAACTATTTCTTTAAAGAAGACACCAAAGAAACCTGAATTATTACTTTCTGCTGGAAATTTTTAAGCTTTTGTTGAGACAAATCAAGACATCTGTGATGGACAACAGCCTTACCAAGCTCCTTAAGTTTCTCAAACTTGGGGACAGGCCAAAAGCATGTTTTGGAGATTGTTGTCTATTGAATTTCAACAGTTGTTGAGTGTTTTTTTTTAAATGGAAAGGACTATGATATTAATTACACTTTCTGATTAAAGTTGACATTTCCAAACCATTTCTGGCCTGTGAGCTATAATTATACTGCATACATATCCATTATACAGTCAACATAGAAGCATAAAAAACTCAGTCTCTTCTGGTTTGCTTACTGGCTGTGGAATAATTTGTAGATGCGACAAAACAAAAACAAAAAAAATTGATTTTCTACAATATTTCATACCTTTTGGGTTTTTCTGAGTTTGCTATTAAGCACAGGATTGCTTGGCTGGATTCAGCAAAGTAATAGATTCGGCCACAAGATTGCTAAGCCATTGTGATAAATAGGCCATGGTTTATGGTTTAGCATGTGCAAACTCAATTATATGACCTATTTAGCAAAAAATAGTGAAACCATAGCTTGACGTGATATGTGTATTAAATTTGTGGGTATTTTTATACATGAATGTTACATTAAGTTTGAGCCTCTTGTGCTATTTATCTAATATCTTTGGTTATTGTTCATATTTTTTTAAAAGGAAAAGAATTATTTATAATGTACATGACAGATCTTACTGATGTCTTTTTAAAAATCTATTACTGAATTGACAAGCAATAACATCTTTCAATTTCATTTGTCAAAACCTGCAACTTTAAAAAAGTCTGCTGTTCTCTTTAAGAAGCCAGTTATAGCAATTGCTTAAGTAGATATCTCCAATTATTTTAGGAAATAGGAATAGAATAGAAATAAAAATAGGAAGCACTGAATCATGCCCCCATTAGATAGATCTGTTTTAGAAATGCAACTTGTAGTCAAAAATGCGATCTATAAGTAATAATGGCTGAAATATCAAATGGGGAGAAAACATATATTCAACAAATTAGGGATCAACAAGCTGAATACATCTACATTTGCTATTCAACTATGCATTTCTGAACTTCACATGGTTCTGCTTGGAGTGACTGAAGAATGAAAGCATATACCTATCAGTATGAATAAAGTAAGTGTAGCTATTTGGAAGGAGTTATGCCTAGGTCTGCAAATATTGCTTATACATTACAGATATCACTGACAAGTGAACATGGTTCACTGCAGAATTATTTTGCATATTGTGCTGGTCAGCTGTAGAATAGTTCTGCATCTCAGTGATCTAAAGCAGGGGTCTCCAACCTTGGCAACTTTAAGCCTGGCAGACTTCAACTCCCAGAATTCCCCAGCCAGCAAAGCAAATTCTGGGAGTTGAAGTCCGCCAGGCTTAAAGTTGCCAAGGTTGGAGACCCCTGATCTAAAGAGAGCATAGCATCATTTTCTGAATGGAGAGAAGACCAGGTACTGCAGCTAGCAGCAAGATTTAAGAAATAATTTTCCCAAACTGTGATTGGCAGATGTTCTTCTAAAAAACAGAATGGCTACTGGCTAAAGGAGCCAGACAGTTTTTGTTTGTTTTCTTCACATGACTAAAGTCTCAATATTATCACAGTGCATGGTGCTGCTCTCAGAAGATAGCACACTGTAAACTATCATCTCTTCCAAAAAGCTATCTTCAAAGCAAAAATATGAAGTAGTTTCAAAAATAATCATAATGCTTCAAGAAATAATATGGTATATTAAACTATTTTGCAATTGAAGATGCTCATTTATACTAAATGGCCAGTTTAATTCTGTGAATTTCTCAAGTAGGTATGAAGGAGATAATGGATTCTTGTTGATTGTATAATTAAACTGGTATGTACTAATTCCTGGTTGCCATAGATAATAGTAATTTTATGTAAATATTTATGTAATCTATGCACCATATCATTCTGCAAAACGAATTTTCTTATGTAATTTTGATTTGTGTAAAATGTGTTTGTTAAACTTAAAAGCTATTGAGCATTCATTTATTATTTGATTCAGACAGCTAACATTTTCATACGGATTGTTTCTTTCTTTTTGTTCCTTCCTCATACAGCAAAGATGCATCCCATGTTTGTTGATCATCTATTGTTTTGCTCAATGCTTTTGTAGAACAATAGCTCTAGATGGAGTGACTGGATTTTTTTTCTTGGATTTTCGTAATTTATGGACTGGTAGCTATGCCTCAGCTAAATCATGAATCTGAAGAACACTGTAGAGATTTTTGTATTTGTATTACTAAACCATCTCAGTTATTAAAAACTTGTGGGTCGCCATCACATGTCCTGGATTAAACTAAAAAACTATATATCCTATCCTTGATTTGCTGCAGAAATAAGGATATTTATATGAAGATTAAGAAAAGCTATTATTGTAGTGTAGCCATGATTCACATGCTAAATCCAGAAAGAATCTAATTGTCAAAACACTTGGAAAAGTTTTGTTGGAAAATTATTTGGAGATTTCAGGAGATAATACTAAAATGTTGTTATTAGGGTGATCTTACTTAGTTTGCATCTTTCTTGAGATTAATCACCAATTCCTGCATCACTGAGTTTTTTTCACAGGATCTTAAATTTCAAACATACTATATAAAGATAATGAGGACATTATCTTTTAATGAAATAAAAAAAATCTAAAGCTGTCCTTTAATTGGTGCTACTATTGGTCCATGTTTGTTCAATATATTCACTTATTTATTACTTCTTCTTATCAGAAAGCATTCTGTTCTCAGGAACATCCATAAAGATCAGATAACCATGGTTTTGTTGTCACATAAAATCTATTAAATAGTATTGTTTATTGAGTCACGGTTCACAAATACATGCACATGAATTGTGTGTTTTTACTTTATATTAATGTAAATTGCTTAACGCACTGTAAGCCGCCCTGAGTCTCCGGAGAAGGGCGGCATATAAATCAATTTTTTTTTTTAAAAAAAAGAGAAACACATTTTTTTAATGTAGGAGTGGTAGTGCAGTTAAGTATACACACTCTATTTATACATTGACATTTTATTTGTGTTAGGAATATTTTTTTTCAGATTTTTATCCTGCCTTTATTATTCTGTAAGCAACTCGAGGCAATGAATACACCTAACATACCTAATATTCCTTCCTCCTATTTTCCCCACAAAAACTCCGTAAGATGAATTGGGCTAAGAGCATGTGACTGACCCAAAGTCACCCATCTGACTCCATGCTTAAGATAGGACTAGAAAAAAAAGGTTCTCCTAGTTTCTGACCCAGGTCTCTACTGATGGTTGAGGGTCAGAGCTGACAGTGGCTTTATTTATCAGAATTGAAGTAAATAAAAGAATGTGTGGCACTGAAATTCTAGCACTGATTTTGAAACAGATATTATGTACAAATGATGAACATGTGATTGTTAAATTTATAAATGGTATTGAACAGGGGTGGGTTCTACTTACCTTTACTACCGGTTCGCATCGCGCCTGCATGCACAGATAACCTTTGATGACGTCCAGGTCAGTGGGCGGAGTCTCTCACTGGTTTTACTACCGGTTCTTGCGAACCAGTCTGAACCGGGGCAACCCATCGCTGTTATTGAAATTTGAAACAAGTCAAGGAACGTATGATGAAGTCCACTAACATTTTTTGGTCACAGTATATAGATGGAAAGATGGGGAAATATTGGTTGAAAGAAATGAGATTTACACTGTTATAAACTTAAAGAGAATTTTTATAAAATGATGTACCATGGGTATACAGTATGCCTCCATAAAGATTATCTAAAATATATAAGAGTACTTTAAATTTGTATTGGGAATGTGAACAACAAAAAGGCTGCACATAAAAAAAAAGCTTAAAAAAATTAGATTCAACTATTTCAGAGGATTAACATCTCACAGGGTTTTTGTGGGGAAAACAGGAGGAAGGTATGTTGGATATGCCTTAAATTATTTGTAAAAATAACACAGGCAGGATACAATTTAAATAAATAAATAAAATATTCAAATGAAATTAGAACTTTTCTTCTTCAGAATATGGATGGATATTTGGAAAAAAGTTATGGAACATTTTTATATATAACTTTAGCGAGATAATTGTATGCACAAAGTTGGAAAGATTTGGTAATATCTACAATGGATGAATGGTTGGTGAAGATGGCAGAACCTGCATATAAATAGGAGCCTGGTGGCACAGCAGACTAAACTGCTGCTGTTAAAGTAGCACATAGTTGCCAGCGGCCTGCAATTACTGCGAGTTCAATTCTCACCAGGCTCAAGGTTGACTCAGCCTTTCATCCTTTTGAGGTAGATAAAATGAGGACCCGGTTTGTGGGGGCAATAAGCTGACTTTGTATAAAATAGAACACCGCTTAGGGGGGGCCAAAAAGCCCTACTAAGCAGGTACTGTATATACAAAAGTATGAAGGCTATTGTTTAATGCATTGTAAGCTGCCCTAAGTCTCCGGAGAAGGGCAGCATATAAATCAAACTAATAAATAAATAAATAAATTTATGATTTATAGTTTTGAAGATTAGGTAAGAGAAAGAAGAGTGATAATGTAATTTTAGAGAGGGATCAATTTATAATTGTACTTATAAATACTGTAAATAATCAGAACTCGCTTCTTTATATCTTTTTCTTTCCTATTTTTCTGTAACCTTTTTCTTTTTGCACCTTTAGCTTTTTTTTTTCTTTAATTCTTCAGTCTGTTTTAGTTTGTATTAGTCTTATCCTTGCGTTTAAATTATTCTATCTATCTATCTATCTATCTATCTATCTATCTATCTATCTATCTATCTATCATCTCCTCCAGATTTGGTGAGAACAGTGACTCCAAAGCTGGGAAAAAAACTGCCTAATCATAGACCTTTATTGATTAGGTTTTCACAATCTGTTGCTCTTCAAATGCACTTAATGATAATACCCATTAACCAGTGGAATAATTGTTGCCAGTTTCCTTGCAGATATCTTTGGACTTTAATTCGTTTGTGTGGCTACCAAAATATAAAGAAATGTAATAATCTATTATTTTGATGGAAAAATTTTATGGAACACCCACCTATTCTGCATTCAGTTGTGAATTTGGTGCTATCATTGTTTGTTTGTTTTTTGGGACTATATTATTTTTCCATATTTCATTTGAACAACCTGGTTTGGGTAAAGGGGCAGTGAATTATTTAACAGGACATGTCTCTGGCATTTGTGCTTCAACTAAATTGTTATGTTCTGCAGCAAAAATAACAAAGATGTGTAGTACCCTAAACTAACGCCAACAAGTCCATCAAATTCATGAAGTGTTCTTCAGCTGCTGGATTTATCTAAACATACACACTTAGATTAAATGGCTATGAGATGAATGATGTCTGATCATTCACTAATAGTTTAAACATGTGAAAAGTAAGCATGGCCTTTCATACTATCACTTCTTATTGATTACACAAAAATCTACATTGTTTATGTTAAAAGCTGTGATGGAACAGAAACTACTATATCCAATGAGATGGAAGTAAACTACCATTTTCTCAAGGATACCAATGCTTCACCAACAATTGTGTGCTCCAAAGACATTAGACAATAATTCTCACAAAATGCAGTTCAGCTGATGATTATTGACGTTGCTTCAAGCTATCTGGAAAACATGCTATTGGGGAATGCTGATGGAGAGTTCTGAGTTAAAGCAGAGGTTTGCTATACATTAGAATAAAAGAAGCATGTCTATGATGCTCACCTTCCTGTTCATATGGATGTCTGGATTTGTCCACTGGGATGTACAGATTTGTGCCAATCGTATACATTTTATAGACCATGAAAATAAATGAAAATAGAGATTTCTGGAAAAAATAGTCTACATTCAGAATAAATGAATGAAATGCTCTTTTAAATGCTTCTGGTGATCTCAAAAAGCTAAAAGTGATGCATGTTAAGCATTATATTCCACCCTCTCAGGTGCATGTATCTAACTACTGGTAGTCCTTCCTCTTCATCTCTCCTGTACTTTATCTTAGAAAACTCTGCAAAAAGTCAGAAGTCAATGAAGTTTTTTTTCAGGATCTTTTATTTATTGTCATGCCTGAAGCACAGGACCCCTACAGACAAATTGACTAGTTGAAAACTTTATTCTTTAGAAAGAAGAGGGTAATCAGTTGGAGAGGACTTTGCCAGAAAAAAAGGAAAGAGAAAAGGGAAGGGAAGAGGAAAGGGAAAAGGGAAGCAAAGGAAAAGAAAGGAGGAAAGAAAGACAGAAGGGAAAGAAATAAAATAGGGAAGGAAAGAGGAAAAGAAAGGGGAAGGGGAAGGCAAGGGAATGGAAAGGAGGAAGGAAAAAGGGAAGGGAAGGGGAAGGAAAGGGAAAGGAAAGGGAAGGAGGAAGGAAAAATGAAAGGAAGGGAAGAGGGAAGGAAAAAGGGAAGGAGAGAGGAAAGAAAAGGAAAGAGGAAAGAGGCGAAGAAAGGAAAGAGGAAAGAAAGGAGTTGCCAAAATAAACTTCATAAAGCTTATCGTTTCATTAGAAACGAAGAGATTCCTACCCTGCATTTACTATATGCTATGTCAAAGAGGGCTTATGAAGAAAGGAAGTAAAGCCGCCCCCCCTCCTCGAGAGCGAAGTGGTACAGTCTTCCTCCCAACAGGCTAAAGCGTCTTTTCTTCGGGGACTGAGTATAAATGGAAAAAGTTCTCCGTGAGGGAGGGGGGGCGGAGGCGCTAACGGCAGACCTCTCAGGTAGGCGAGAAGCGAATTCAAACGCCACGGATAGTAGCAGCACTGTACGCGGAACCATTTTCCCCAAAAAATGAACGCAACGTTAACGGAGCAGCCAACCCTGGGGAGATTGCGCAGTAGAAGAGGGGCGGGATAAAAGTGAAGAAGCCAGCCTAGGAGGATTTTACTGAGAGCGGCTCGTTGGTCTAGGGGTATGATTCTCGCTTCGGGTGCGAGAGGTCCCGGGTTCAAATCCCGGACGAGCCCGTAGTCGGAGGAAGTGCTTTCGTTTCCTTCGTATTTTGGGGGGCGTGAGGCCTTTTTTTTTACGTGTTTTACAGAATCTTTCATCAAAACAAATTAAGCAAGAACCGGATATCAAAAGATGCAAATAAATAATCTCCCTAAAATCGAGAACGGATTGACAGGATACCGGAGCTGTCTTTGAAATTCCGCATAATTTAATTTATATTTTCGCGTTTATATGAACTGCCGAAAACACCGATTGCGTTTATAGTCTGTCCTTTTTTGATAATAACCTTTTTATAGCATTCGTTAACACAACTTCTTACGTTTACAGCGGAGTAAACAAGGGAAAACGAAT